CCCCCCCCCCCCCGGCGGGGCGGCGGGGGGGGGCCCGCGGGGGGGACATTTGAAGAGGGCTGTGTCCACACTGGTCCACACCCTCTCTCGACTCCTCCCCACAGCCTGCCCACACCCGTCCACCCGCCGGGGTAGGTGCGCACGCCCTTCAACGCCGGGGCGTGGCGGCAGAGGCACGGGCAGGTGTACGCGCGCGGCGCGCCCGTCACCTTCCAGGTGCCCGGCTTGCCTCGTGGGGCGCCTGCCGGCCTCTCCAGGCGCCATCAGGGCGGCTGCCGCGGCGCGGCAGGCACGCCGATCCACGATGCAGGAGGTGAGAGCTCGGAGCCCACCTCGGCCACTCTCGTAAAGGCGGCGGTGAGCTATAGGAGGCGCCGGCAAGTTTAGCGAGGTGTGGGGGGTACGGGCCGAGGCCAACTGCCGCCGCGAGTCCCATACCTCCAGAGTCTCGAATCCAGCGTGGGTTCAGGTCCTTGGGTGGTGTGGTAGGCCGAGTGCCGCCGCGAGTGCCTACGGAGAGCGGATTGCCTCGCGTACGAGTTTGCCGCCATCAAGGCCCACCTTTCCCCGCCCCCACGGTACCCTCCCCGCCGCCAAGGTACCCTCCCCTACCCCATGGTACCCGAACCCAGCGCTCCTACCAGCAAGGCGGACTGATCACTCATTAGTTCATCGATTATTCACGTCCCTAAAGCCCACCTCGTCTCCAAGCTTGACCGCGCCATTTATTCCTTCATGTAGGCCTACACCCGCTGCGTGCTCCACACGTCCCTAAAGCCCACCTCGTCTCCAAGTCTGACCGCGCCATTTATTCACATTCATGTAGGCCTACACCCGCTGCGTGCTGCACAAGACGCCCGTCACACACACGCTGCCGATGGCGGGCTACTCGTGCTACGCAAAGGTACGCTTCCTAGAGACACTTCCGAGACACGTCCTAGACACGTCCTAGACACGTCCTAGACACCTCCTCCCGATGGCGGGCTAGTCGTGCTACGCAAAGGTACGCTTCCTAGAGACACTTCCTAGACACGTCCTAGACACGTCCTAGACACGTCCTAGACACCTCCTCCCGGTGGCGGGCTAGTCGTGCTACGCAAAGGTCGGCGGCTCGCACACACACACACGCCCCCCCGCGCGCACCCACGCGCCGGGGGCCTTGCACTTTGAGTGCCGTGCGGCTCCTCTGTCTTTTAGACGCGGAGTCGCGAGGGCTGCCCTGGCCCTTGCCCCCCCCACCACCCTCGTGTGTGTGGAGAAGTGTACCTGATCGGTCACCGTAGGTCGGTGGAGGGTACAGCCACATCGACGCCCCCGCCGCCACGGCCTCCGCCGCCGCCACTGCGCAGGGGGCGAGCGCCGCCCTGGCCGCTTTGGCCCCTCAGCCCGCCCCATCGCAGGGGGCGGGGGCGCTGCAGCCGCTGACAGCGGCGTTACCGGCGTCCGCCCCGCTAGCGCAGCCGCAGCCGGCGCAGCCGACGCCTCCCTAGTAGCGGTAGACACCCCTGTGGAGGTTCACCTTCATTGGGCCCTTTCATTGGTTGATAGCCGACCACGCTCTCCTCCACTCTGCTGCCCTCGGCGGCGGCGGGAGGAGGAGCTCCCGCTCTCGCGCCAGCGCCCGGAGTGGCGACGGCGGCGGCGAATCATTTGGCTGCGGCTCGGGCGGCCGCGACGGCGGCACAGTTGGCCGCGGCACGGGCGGCCCAGGCGGCGGCGGCTGCAGCAGCAGCAGTAGTAGTAGTAGTAGTAGTAGTAGTAGAAGTAGTAGTAGTAGTAGCTGCAACAGCAGCAGTAGTAGCAGCAGCAGTAGTAGTAGCAGCTGTAGCAGTAGTAGTAGTAGTAGTAGTAGTAGTAGTAGTAGTAGCAGCAGCAGCAGTAGCAGTAGTAGCAGTAGCAGCAGTAGTAGGCAGCCTTGCTTCCAAGGTCGCCCTCCCCCCGTACCCACGCCCACGCGACCAGGGACAAGAGACTTCCTAGACACTTCCTAGACACTTCCTCAGGGACAAGAGACTTCCTAGACACTTCCTAGACACGTCCTCAGGGACAAGAGACTTCCTAGACACTTCCTAGACACGTCCTCAGGGGCAAGAGACTGACTCGAGACAGCCGGACACCCCCTTGCTGGCTGCTGCTGCTCTGCGTTGTGGCTCGCGCTGGTGGAAGGAGTGCCGAGTCCTTTTGAGCCAAGGGCTGCCAACCGGTTTGCCCGCTGCTACTGCAGGCTGCGGTGGCTGGTGCGGCGGCGGGCTCGGCGACGGCGTGGGCGGCGAATCCGGCGCAGCCGACAGCGCAGCCTGCTGCGGTCGCGCCGCAGGCCTCCCCCTTCTCCCCATCATCTCTCCCAGTCTCTCCCTATCTCTCCCCATCTCTCTCCCCATCTCTCCCTATCTCTCCCCATCTCTCCCTCTCTCTCCCCATCTCTCCCCATCTCTCCCCCCACCTCTCCCCACCTCTCCCCATCTCTCCCCACCTCTCTCCCTCTCTCTCCCCTTCTCTCCCCCTCTCTCCCATCTCTCCCCCTCTCTGC